TTTTTGTGCTGTATCCCTTCAGGAACATTGGCATAATGAAGAATCTAACATAACGGTGCCTGCTGGGCCTGAGCATTTTTAGCACACGGTCACCAGGGAATTAAGCAAGTGGCTCTCCAGAGACTCCAAGAAGTTACAAATCATTTAGTAATCAAACAAATGGCTTTGCCTGTGTTATGAAGAATGGTGCGATCAATTGTAAGTGTCTGACTGACTTGTAATTTATTAGTCTGTATTGCTCTTTTCTGTAATTGTTGTTCATTGGTTTGCCTTATACAAAGATATACTTCCGAGTGCTGAGTAAAATCATCATTGATTTTAAGCTGGCTGGTGCTAAATCCAGGTTTCTGTGGAAAGTCTGTATTTATTTTTTCCTTCTTCATTTTTGTCCACATTTTCGGCAAAGGAAGCATTGTAGCTAAATTGGGTTTATAAATACAATGCCAGGAACTTACAGATAAAGCTGCTTTACCTCCATCAAGAGTAATCTCTAGGCTGTATGCTTTGCACATTTACAATGATATTATACCAGCATAATTCCATCGACTACATTGGTATTTGCTCCCGAACAAGTGATTTTGAAATGTGTGGATTGTAATTTTTGGACACTCTTTTTCAAATGTGGCAGGGCCTGATGGATTGTAATGGCTTAGAACAAATTAGGTATTTTGGCTTATTTATCACATGCTCATTTACCACAAGTGTGCTCTAAATCAGCATGCTGAAAACTAAGATAACATGTTTGAATAAATTGGTGTTGATACATAATAAGCTGTCAATGGACTAGTTACAATCAAAGGCAATAGCTACCGCCACAATTGATTAGTGGCTTACATTGTGTCAAGCTCATTCCTTAAAGGGGAACGTAAGTTTTTCCCCAACCAAGTATTTATCAGTGTGCCCCTATTTATTAATCTTCCCAAAACTGTGATTTCATGAATCTGCATCGCTATTTTAAAACTGTTTGCATATTTGATTGTTCCATGCTTCATGATAGTATATGAGCATTTTTTTTAAAGTATGGTGAGTCTGCTTTAATTATTACAGGGGCATTTAATATGGAGCAGTTTTGTGATTTTGGCTAGTCACTCACTGCACTATTTGCACTTATGGTGCACAATTACAGTTTGCACAGTACTCTAGTTTCAATATTTCAGTACGAATTACAGGAGTTGTCTTTTTGCCTGTCCTCTTTTAAGTTGCATGTTTTCATGAGTCATGTGCTTGGGCAGAGGAGGATACAGTTTGGGATGCCTCTGTTTGGATAGTCATGAGGGAATGGATATAAAAGTAATACTGATAAATATGGAATAATCAAAATTAAAAGTCTATCTGCAGCCTGCCTAGTGCCAAAGGGGAGGTTTGGAATCATGAAAAAATCCCAATCTAAAAATCAAAGAAAAATGTGTCTGGGACACAACCAGGATATTCAGGTCTACAAACATTGGAGTTCACATGTAGGTCCTTGGCAAATCCAGTGTGTGGCTGTCACCTGGGACAGGCTTGTCTGGGTGAGGTGTGCAGGCAGAGTGTAATCCATGCTCCCATATTACATCTAGGCTCTGCACAGGATGTTATCATCTGAACCATCCCATGCACCAGCCTACTTTCTGTAATAGCATTTTAAGTTTGCCATAGTCTTTTTATCCCCACAACAACCCTGCAAAGTAAATCATAGTAAATTTTTAGGATTCTGGGGATTCAGTTTCTGCTGTAAACCATGGCTATCTCTTTGATTGAAAATGTACCAGAATAACATAGCCAATGTCATACAATGAACCTGAGGTACATAGGAGGAATTTAAAATCAGGCCTCCAGATCTTGCATTTTTGAAGCTTAAAGGGAAGACCTTTGGCAGCTAGCTTACTGAGAATAAAAACGGGCAGACAGTATTCTACCCAATCAAACCAACGGTTTAATTTGAGAAGTTGGAAGACAGGATTAAGAATTCTGAGCCTCAGAAATAAATGACATGAGCATGCACAGAGTGCACCTCTCCTCAGTTACAAATGTGTGCATGTGTGATGTTTCCACAACAGTTACTTCTAAATAAAATGAGTGTCCTTTGTGTAAAGATCACATTTGGCAATCACCATGCAGTTCTGCGCTCAGTCTTCCCACATCAAAATTGACAACAGCACTCAGTACACTTGCACAATAAATACATCCCAGGTCAAATCAAGGTGTAAACACAACCCCCCCACACACTTTCTTTATATGATACTCCTGTTCCAAAGCTTTAACCTTTAAACAACCATTCCCATCAAACATCTCTATCAACAAGTTTTCAGGTTCAGAACATCCATTCCCAGCCAAAATGAAATACATGTACCAACTTGCCTTTGAATAAAGTCACTTGGGGGGGTTAATTGCTTGATATTCTCCAGTAGCACTAGTACAAGAGCCAACTTACACCCGGGGATGTATCTGCCTGGGAGGGAAAATAAAAATCCTAATATTGTGCAATGAACAAATAGTGCAAATCATAATTACATATAACATTACATATACTCGCTGTCCCTTGTCATGGGATTTTTCTTTTAGATCTAAAGCCTGTGGGCAGGGACTGTCTTGTTTTGATAGTATGTAAGCTGCTCTGGGAGCTTTTTTTGGCTGAAGAGCGGGGTACAAATGCTCTAAATAAATAATCTATTATGTGCTAATCTGTATTTTTACAGGATTACATCTTTTGGTGTTTGATGTCATGGTTTCAGTTATGAAACTGAGGAAACACTGCTGCTTTCTAAGCTTGCCAGATCTTCCACCCCCTCAGCTCTCATAAGCTTCATTAGGTATACCTGTTCTGCCTCTATAACTCCTGTTTTGCTTCCTTCTCATGCACCCACATACGTCTGCCTCCTAAAACCTGATTCACAGTTCATCCTTCCTTCTAGCTGTAGCACACCTATTAGGGCCAGACTGACACCACTGGTTGGGAGGTAGCTACAGTGGTACCTCGGGTTAAGTACTTAATTCATTCCGGAGGTTCGTTCTTAACCAGAAACTGTTCTTGACCTGAAGCACCACCTTAGCTAATGGGGCCTCCTGCTGCTGCCAGGCCGCCGGAGCACAATTTCTGTTCTCATCTTGAAGCAAAGTTCTTAACCCGAGGTACTATTTCTGGGTTAGCAGAGTCTGTAACCTGAAGTGTATGTAACCTGAAGCGTATGTAACCCGAGGTACCACTGTATAATCAAATCGAGATTTGGAGTCTGTGTTTTCTAACCCAGGATCTCTGAGCATTAGTTGTTGGAGATTTGGGCATGAAATGAAATACAGAAAGAATAACTGTAAGCTGATGGGGCTATTTTGCAAAAGGTTCAGGTAAAAAACAAGGTTATGTCATTTTTGTGTTCTGTTTTATGGTGTATTTATTTGTGCTTTTCACAGTGTTGTCCCTTTTTAGAACAAGGTTTTTCAGGAATGCTTGAATATCTGGATTCATTTCAGTCTGGCTTCATGCCTGGTCATGGCACCCAAATTACAATGGTCATCCTGGTTAATGATAACATTTTTCAGGAGTGAGATGTGGGGAGCATGGCCGTGCTGGTTCTAGACCTCTCAGCAGCTTTCAATACCACTGACCACAGTATCCTTCAGAGTGGCTCAAGGAGGTGCAGGTTGGGGGCACCTGCTGCTGCTCTGCTCCTAAATTCAGGACTGTTTCCAGAAATTTATGGAGGGGCACTTTTCAACGCCATGGGGATTTTCCTGTGGTGTTCCACAGGGTTCCATCTTGTTCTGCGTTCTATTTAGCCTCTATCTGAAGCTTCTAGAAGGCGACCTCAGGAGTTTTGGAGTGAGGTGTCACCAATATCCAGGTGGCACCCAAGCTTATACCCTCTCAATCAGGAGAGGGGGCTGAGGTGCTAAACAGGTGTTTGGAGGCTGGATGTGGGCCAACAAATTGAAACTGAATTCTGAAATGCCGGAAGTATGATGTGCTCCAAATTTTCAAGTCCAGGAGGTAATAACACGACTCGGAAGGAGCAGGTTCATAGGCTGGAGTTTCTCCTGGATCCAACATTATTATTTGAGGCCCAGGTGGCCTTGGTGCCTACGCGTGCCAATTTCCCGCCCCAGCTGCTTCACTGGACCCTTTGGGATAGAGATGATACTCCAGACACTGGCAACTTCCACACTGGAATATTGCAATGTGCTTGGGGGGGGGCGCTACTCATGAAGATGATTTGGAAACTTCAACTGGTCCAAAATACAGCAGCCAGATTACTGGCTGGGGTTTCCTTTAGAACGTATTTGCATAAATTTGCATAATTTTTTATTGTTAAAACCATTGCATTGATTGCCAGTTCATTCCCAATTCACCTTCCTGGGTGTTAAGATCAGCAGAGGGAGCCTTCATACATTGGGGGGGGGGCGTGGTCCAGGACAGTGCATTCCTTCCTCAGAGAAGCACCCCTGGCACTTTCACTCTGGAGCAGCTGCAACACCCCGTTGCAGAACCCAAGCTGCGTGCACGTGGTTCCCAGGTCCTCACCCCTCCAGGCTCCGAGCAGGCCAAAGCCGGCTTAGCTTCCGTGCTGGCGGCCCCTCCGATCACCCGGTGGGCGAAGAAGTCCTGCTGGTTCTCTTCCCCTCCCACTTTTAGTAAAGAAACGCGGTGGGTTGCCTCCAGGAATCCTGCCGGAAGCGAGCAAGATGAAAGAGTGATTGGTGGAAACCGCCAGCAGCTGCCGCCTCGCGCACCCTACTGCTGGCTCCGAAGGCTTCCCAGCCCTAGAGGGGCGAGAGGGTGCCTTGGAGGGGGACTGGCTGTAGGGCTGTCCCGCTTGCTTGCCTGCCTGCCGGCCGCCCACGTGGTGCCGCCTGCCGGGCGGGCGGGCGGGCCTGCCCAGGTCTGGCTGGCTCGCTCGCTGAAATCCCGCCCAGTCGGGAGCGTCACTGGCTCGGGCTGAAATGCACACACGCGGGAGGAGGAAGCAGCCGCCCGCAGTTCGCGCTCGGCTGGCGAAGGCTGCATGCGAGAGGCAGCCGCGCGGGGGCCCATAGCCGCCGAGGAGGGGACGCCATGTGCCGGCCAGCTCTGACCAGGCTGCTGCTCTTCCACCTGCTGCTCGTCAAGATGCACATCGCCAAAGGTGGGTGGGCGGCACGGGCGGCGTAGCCGAGAGAGCGGGCGAGCGCCAGGCGCGCGCTGGCTGCCCCCAAACTCCTGGCCGACCCTCGGCGTGGCGGGGGGGACCCAGAGGCCACCCCGGAGATGCATGTGCGCGCAAACAGAGCCACGGATATCCCGGTGCAAACTGCTCCAAGGGGATAATCGCTTTAAGCCAAAGCGGGGGGGGGGAGACACCTCTCACCTGGGGACACCTTTTCCAGAGGACATCCTTCCTATTTAGCTGTGGTCCGATCAGCACCCTTGCAATTTGCCATCGGTCGTTACCGCCCCCCCCCCAACAACTGGGCTAATACAATGTGCCTTCAGGAATTGGGCTGAGGAAAGGTGCCATATCTGCACCTTTGGCTCTCATCGCCCCCCCATCCCTTTTTGAAACATTGCCGGGGGGTGAGGCTTATGTTTTAGGAAGAAACAGAGGCGGCTCCCGCACCTTCTCCCACTTGGCTTGGAATGACCCTTTGTTGTTGTTGCTGCTGCTGTTGTTGTCATCCCGCCTGAGCCATGCCTGCCTTCTGTCCCCGAGCGCGATCCGTGCCGCCTCCCCAAAATGGGCACGCGCCGGGTGGGGGGGGGCGGAGGAGCATTGTTTCCCGGCGGAGATGCTTCCTTGTATGCAGATGGGGCTTTGTGCGCTTTTCTGCGCCTTCTCTCGGAGAACGTGGCCTAGAACGCTCCGGGCTTGCTTGCCGTTTTGCAAGCGAGCTGTGGAAGGGATGGCTGGGGGACCGGAAGGCAGGAGGGAGGGAGGGGGCTGACCCCCCTCCACCCACCACCCCTCTAAACTCCGGGTGTCCCTTTGCCGCTTGCAGGCTCCGCCAAGGAGTGCGAAGAGGACCAGTTCCAGTGCCGGAATGAGCGGTGCATCCCTTCCATTTGGAAATGCGACGAGGATGACGATTGCTCAGATAATAGTGACGAGGCAGATTGCCGTGAGTATCAGGGGTGGGGAGGCGATCAGCCCCCTTTCAAATCCTCTCTTGCGAGCGGGAAGACAGCTGGCTGGGGGGGGGAGGTGGGGGGGCAATCTGCTCCTGTTCTGGCGGGGTGTCTGCAGGGTGGGGGGGTGAGAGATGAAGGCGATACCCCGCTCGGTTTCGCCTGCCCTGGTCTCCCCCGATGGGCAGAATGGCGAGGGCAATGCTCTGCGTGCATCTCCCGAGAGACGTGTGTCATCAGCGGATTGACCCCGGCTGCAGGAAGGGAGTGGATTTCAGTTTATATCCTAGGTGAGACGTGGGCGTTTGTGTTCGAAAGGATTACATGCAGTTGTGTGGCTCCCAGCCCGGAGCGAAGCCGCGCAGGTCTTCACGGTTCCGTCTTAAGCAGCTCAGAATATCAGTTGGCTCGCTACGCTTTGGCAAAAATGGTCCCGTGCGAGAGAAATCCCGTTTCAAAGTTTCGTGGCGCTGTGTAAGATTACACCCTCTTCCACTTTATGAATGAAATTGCCTCTTGTGCCGGCGACTTTTTGATTGGCTGCCGGGTAAACGCCAGATAGGTCACATGGTACCGGATCCCTTCTAGGAGTGGCGCTGTGTGTGTGTGTGTGTGTGTGTGTGTGTGTGTGTGTGTGTGTGTGTAAGAGTTCTGGACACACATTGAACCAGCCTCACCTTCGCTCTGCCCCTGGAAGGCCACACCTCCCTGTCATTGGTTTAGGCTGAGAGGACATGGTGGTGTGTGGAGGCAGCCTGACAATCTAAATTTATGCACTCAAAGCCGTTTAGTATTGCATGGTCATGATGAATCCTTTAGGGCAAGGGATGATTAAGCTCTTTAACAGCAAGTGCCAATGCAGGTGATGATTCATTCTAGTAGTAGTTTCAGAAATACAGAGCTTTCTCTTAGTGTGCGACAACTTTCTCAACTATGCTGGGGAAATGGCTTTTAGTGCTTTTATTGTTTTTTAGTTTTGTTTTTAAATATATCAGTTACTTCCCCAGTTGCTCAACCTACCTTCAGGCTTATCTTGCATTCCAGGAAACAAAATTTTAAAGTTGTTTTACACAAGTTGTTTTATATTATTGTGATCTGGAGTGAACATTATTGTGTGTGAACTGCATTTCTGGCATTTTATGTGTTCATCATCCTAAGTAAACCTTTTCTCAGGTTGGGTTTTCAAAAACAGCAGTATTTTTATTGTGTGCAGAAAAACGGATAGTTAAATTGCATGACTAGCTGTCCAGGTAAAACATAATTGAACTCTAGGCAGCTAATGCAGTAAGTTCTTTTTAAAAAAAATAGAAATTTATTGTGCATCTGGGGCTCCAAAAAGGAAGAATGTTGCCTTCTTCCTTTTATACCCATCTGGTGAAGTAGCAGCAAGCCAGAAATTTGAGTCACATCCACACCATCCTATTTAAAGCAGAAAATCCTGGGAATTATAGTTTGCTCCCCACGGAGCTACAATTCCCAGCACCCTTAACAAACTGCAGTTCCCAGGATAATTTGAGGGAAGCCACATGCTTTAAATGGATGGTGTGACCTCAGAGTAGTCCAAAAGTGCCCCCTTCTCTCCATCTTTGTAAAAATCCCGTGGTTTGTTTGGTAAGTTAGGCTGAAAGTTAGTGATTGGCTCATGGTCACACAGTGAACATCATGGCTTAGTAGGGGTTTTGAACTCTGCTCTCCCCAGACCTAGTCAGGCACTTTTAGTTTATACTGCATTGCATTGTCAGCATGTACATGTGTCAGGGTGCTTTACTGAGTAAATATGCTATGTAAGCTTGATCAGCTGTTGATTCATGCTGACTATTATGAATGGCAAAGGAGCATGAGATTAATGACAGATGAAGGAGAACATTATGGCTTTTGTGTTGAAGTCCTGCTTAATCTTCTGAGCCGTGGTAAAGTTTCCTATTTGATGCTGGAGCTAAAATACTAAATGTGTGTGCCCGAAGACTCATGTTCTAGTTGTTTAGGGAAATTGCTATTGAATGAATGAATGCTGCATTTGTAATTTATGAAGTCCTCAGTGCTGTTTCCATGAATCGTAATTGCTTATTCTGTGGAATAAGTTGATAGCAGGCACTGGGGAAATGGTTACTTGTGCTACTTATGCCATGCTTTTGCTTTGGTTATCTCTTATTGCTGAATAATTTCACAATCTTTATCCCTGGCTAATGTTCAAGGCTTAGTTTTTGCGAAGAGAAGATGAGGTGGTACGCCTGTGTCAAGATGTTTATTTAATTTCTATACCACTTAATATATTTATACCTCTGAATGGTGTACAAAAAGCTGGAGCAACAACAGACAACTTAAACAAAATGTTACAAAAATACATTGTTATATATAAAAATGTTACATTAATACAAACTTACTGGTATATATAAATCAATATCGGTTCATTTTCCTTCTGACACTGCCTCTCAGCCCTGGCTTCTCACCCAGGGTCGAAACAAACTCTCAGCTCATCCACAAAAGTCTCAGGGGAAGAGTTACTGAAAAAGTTACCATCACCCTAGTCTCTCACTGTGACTGGTACTTCCTCAATCTGCCCACAGCTATGTCCCATTCAGCTGCACTCTCCACACCCAGTTCCAGGGGTTCAAAGGATGGGTAAATGACCACCCTCTGCTCATAGCTCTTTTTTCGCTGTCTGTCCTCTCCTCTTCCAGCTGTTTTTTGCAGGTTGCTCTGGAAGTTCTTGGAGGGAGGGACCCCAGCAGGGAGAAGAGGGGCAAAGCCCCATTGTGCAAGTGGAAGTCCTTGTGCAGGGTTTCTGCTGATGGGGCTGGTTGGGGGAGTCTTGCCTTCGATCTTTTGTAGTTTAAGCTTTGATGATTTGCAGTTGGATGTACAGTCGTACCTTGGAAGTCAACCAGAATCCGTTCCGGAAGTCCGTTTTGACTCCCAAAACGTTTGGAAACCAAAGTGTGGCTTCTGATTGGCTGCAGGAAGCTCCTGCAGCCAATTGGAAGCCCCGTCGGACGTTCAGGTTCTAAAGAACATTTGCAAACCAGAACATTCACTTCCGGGTTTGCGGCGTTCGGGAGCTAAAACGTTTGATCGCAAGGCGTTTGACAACCAAGGTACGACTGTATTCACTCTTGCTTCCTTTCCCCTATTAAAAGTTCTCTTTTTTCTTCTTCACCTCCTCTGCTCTTCTTAAATGCATCTTCTCAATATGTGGTTGCAACATCTGATTAATGTAACTTGTTGTTTTGTGGCTGTATTGTTTGGAAGTCTGTTGTCAGGAAGAATATAACATGAGTGGTGACCAGATTGCTTTCTGGGTCTAGGTCAGCATTTCCCAGACTTGGGTCTCCAGCTGTTTCTTGGACTGCAACTTCCATCATCCCTGATCATTGGTCCTACTAGCCAGGGATGATGGGAGTTGTAGTCCAACAAACAGCTGGAGACCCAAGTTTGGGAAACCCTGGTCTAGGAGGACCAGAACTGGAACAAAGCTTCCAGATCCACACAGACACTTTCTATTTTTTGCTTCCTCCTCTTTTTTATTATTAAGTTCAGCAAGCAGGTAAAAGTTAATTGGCATCTCCGTAATAAACTGTAAATTGCTAAGGAGAAGGTAATTCTCACCCCCAAGCGGCTTCAAAACATATACTGTTTAGGGGCAAGCCGTAAGTGAGCATTTTCACCCTAAATTTTAACTGCTTCAAAAAACATGGAATGTTTATTTTTGTTCAGGCTGTTACTTCTGCAAATAATCGGCTTATAAAACAAATTAGGCCTTGTAGGCGTAATGGTCTAAATACCTCCCAGTTTCAAAAAGAATGTGGTATATTTGCAATGGCAATAATGAGCAAATTATGCTGTATCTTGCTCTGGGGAGGGGGGAAAGTGGTGTGGGGAGTTGGCGGTACTTGCTGTGCTTCTGGAAAGCATCCTGCTTTGAACAGGCTCTTGGTGTTCCTGCACTCCTCCTTCCTGGCTGTCCCGTTGCTTGTCTTACGTCAAAGGCATGCTAGATTTAAGGGAGTCCGTTCATCAGCCAACCACAAGAAGGTGTTTCTTGGCATATTTTGTCATATCCCTGCCTGACCTGTGGTAAGAGCCTGACCTGTGGTAAGAGCCTGAGGTCTGCGGTTTGGGTTATAAAGACACTGCTGGATTTGCATCGGCTGTTGGGGTGTATTGTAGAAGAATACATGATTGAAGTAGGGAAGGGTGATCTCATGATGGGGAAAATTCTTTTGTGGAATTTTGGTAGCTTTAACGCGGGCTTCCTCAACCTCGGCCCTCCAGATGTTTTGAGACTACAATTCCCATCATCCCTGAGCACTGGTCCTGCTAGCTAGGGATCATGGGAGTTGTAGGCCAAAAACATCTGGAGGGCCGAGATTGAGGAAGCCTGCTTTAACGGAGCTGTTATGTACTGAGTTGAATAGGATCCGAAATGCAGCAGTCTAATTGGTCCTAGATCAATAGGATTCAGAATGCAGCAGTCTGATTGGTCCTAGAACAATGCAGCAGTATGATTTGTCCGCAGGAGCCACCCAATCCAGCTCCAGGTGGAAGTGAATCCACAACCTGATTGGCCTACAGGAGATTAGCCAATCACGTGCAACCCATTGTGTAAATAATGTATATAAAGCAGATATTTTGGGGGAACTTCCATTCCTCCTCACCACTATGAGCTGAATAAAGAGCATGAAATCCACTCTTGACTCCTAGTATATTTCAGGAACATAAATACTTTGTGCATTCCTGCAAAATTCATTGGGAATGGGATGGTACATCCTTGTTTTTGGCCACTAGTCTTTCTTGCAGCTAAATACTGCTGGGAACATTTCTCTCCCTCTTCTCCCTTTTGAATAGGGTGGGGAGAATTTGATAAGAAGGCAAAAACAAAACAGATAAGCATGCATATTTGTCTGTTTGTAGCAGTATTTCGTTACAAAATCATACACCATGAGGGTTCCCACCACAATAAGAAAAACAACAGCTAGTCAAAGAACTTCATAAA